AGGGAGCCCGATGTGGGGCTCGATCCCAGGACCCTGGGATCATGACCTGAGCTGAAGGCAGACGCTTAACGACTGAGCCACCCAGGCGCCCAAGGGCCCCACCTTCGAATACCATCACATTGTGGGGTAGGACTTCAATATATGAATTTGAGAGGAACACATTCCGTCCATACCACCCTGGTAGAGATCAGGTTTCCTGAGGAATGCCAAAATCTTCCTGTGGGCATGAGGCCTCATGTGCCCCCTTTAACCTGTCACTGGAGACTGGGGACTTCCTTTGCCTTCTTCCAGAAATGACTCATTATCTTAAGACGGGCATGAAAGGCTTGGGATGACTTCTGATAAGGTTCTCCAAGTGCCCCCCTCCCCCCCTCCTCTTGTCCCCTGTGCAGACAGCTGAGAAGATGCTCTACTTGGTGTCTGGCCAGAGAACAAATCACTTTCCCTCCAGGGACTACACCCTGGAGGAAAGCTACAGGCAGGAGAGAAGGAACATGCATGCAAAGCATCCAGGCTCACCTCGGAGGTGATATATGAGGCAGAGCATGGTCTACACGGAGCGGGTAGCCTCTAGGCCCACTGTTTTTGGCCCAGTAGGCCTGTGGCTGCCCTTGGCATCAGTGAAGGAGCCAGCAGGCTTCAGCTACACAGAGGGCCTGCGCACACAAGCCACTCACTCAGGAAGGCAGGAGCCATTGGTCTCTGCAAATGCAGCAGGCAGCAGAGGTGCCCATGAGGGGCCCAGGTCCAGGAAACGAGCCCTTTCTTTGCTCAGGATCCTGGTATCAGTCAACTGGGTCAGTACCATTTCTAGATTCCAAACGTCCATCATAAGTTCACAAAGAGTTGCAATGAAAGACAATTTTTATTAAGCACTGGAGCTGTGATTATTTTAGCACAAAGCACCTATGTTCATCTGATTTCAGCTTCCCACCATTGGAATGCTGTTCCCTGTGGTTTCCCCAACATGACTGTGGAGGAGATGCAGGGCTTGGCCATCAAGGCCAAGATTTTGGAACTCTTGTGGCTTAAGACAGAACAGCTTCTTACTAGATTGCAAACCATGCTGGAAAATGTTTCTTGGCAGAAAAAACAAAAAAACAAAAAACGTATTCTAACTTGAGTAGACTCTGCAGCCTGCCAGCCCATGGTAGAACAGGCGTGTGCAAGGCCAGGCAGGTAGGTGGGGGACAACAGCCTCCTGCTGTGGCCCAGCTGCTGTCACACATTAGCACACGGGGGGCCACAGGCTGCCTCTGCAACATAGCTTCCAAGAAACGGGTTGTGCTCAGCAATCCCAAACAGCACTTATCAGGAAAGGAAAAAAAACGCCCACCCCCCCTCCCCAAAGCCCTACTCCAGGAAACTCTGTGAGCCTTGGAGTTTCCCTGGCCACGCAGGCCTCATCGGCCTGTCTGTCCCTCTTCTCTCAAGGCTTGGCATGAGAGTACCGCTGGCGCTGCTCCTCATCCAAGCTAGATTGCTCTGCAGACAGGAAATAGCCGATATGGCCTGGTGAGTATTCATCAGGGTCCTGGAGAGCCTCCGGACTTGCCTCAGAAGCTGGCACCTGCCAAGGAAAAGGGGGACAAGGTGAGACATTCCCTCTAGTTCGAGTCAGCAAGCTGCTGAGAAATACCTCTTTGGAATACAGACTTACAAGGCGCTGGTAGAAGGTGTAGCTAGGGACAATGAGGTTCCTCTCCACTTTTGTCTTCCAATAGCATCTTGCCTTAAAGACCAGCAAGAGTAGCCCTGGGCTCTCCCAAAGTTTTCTTCATGCCTAAGGGTACTGGGTTCTGTGTCTGGTCCTCCCTAGCCCAGCTTCTCTGCCAGCCATGGCTAGCCAAAGGCTTGGAAGCTCTCTCCCTGCCCCTACCCTTGCACGTTGTTATTACTCTGCTCGAACTAAGTACCTTCCATGCTGAGCCTGATGGGCAGCCACCTGGCCTACTTGAACAATGTGATGGGAAAGGTAACAACAACCCACTCTGAGCTGTAGAGTGGGGAGGAGGGGCAGACACAAAGGTGGTATTACGAAGACTAGGCTGGGGGAGTCTTTTCTCTTTGAGAAGAAAGGACTCTGTGGGCTGGGTTCTGAAGGTGATGCAAGAATTCAGTAAGTGGAACCCAAGGGATGGAAGAGAAGACAGAGGAACAGAAGAAGCAGGGCTGGGCTCTGGGAAGAAAGCGGATGTGCCTGGGAACCCGGGGAGGGGGGGGCCCAGAGACCAGTGGAAATGAGTCAGGGCAGGGTGTGGGAAGCCCCTGAAGTCTTGTGGACAAGGAAGCTCCCACATGATCCTGCACCTGGCTGCCCCACGGCACTCTCCCAACAACCTTCCAGGCATCCTCCCTTCTCCACTTCCTTGGGATATCTGTTCAGCTTGGTCTTGGCTCTGCTTCTAAGGGCCCACCCAGATAGTAGCGCCTTGAGAGCAGACCTGATGAAGAGTTTCACCAGAGTCTGCCTTGGGAACTGACCCACGGGATCCACTGAGCATCTACGTGGTCTCTTCGCATGGGCAGTCCCTCTCATGGATCAACTCTCTGGAGGATTGGTCCAGTCCAGCTGGTCAAGGTGTGTATGTGAAAATAATCACACCTTTAGCCATTTAAAATATCCAAACTCACTCATTCTGCCTTAGCTTACTGGGTTCTTTTTTCCTTGTTGTTGTTGTTAGCTTTAAAAAATCAGAGGTTAGGCTCCATTAAGATTTCTAAAGCCAGAATTAAAACACCCTTTCTAAGTACTGTTAGATTGAGAGTATGTGGTCCCAAGGGGCTTGCTGGGAGTGTATCTGGGAGCAAAACCCAATATGTGCCTGCCATCTGGACCAGCTGCCAACACTGCCCTGGAAACATGACCATTACAGATGGTCCCTGAGGTGGGGTCCACCCTGGCAAATATGGAGCACCCTATGGATGAACACCAAGCACGATCCATAGAAGGACCCTTGGTTTATTTTTTAGTACAAGGAAACACACCCACACTAGGCTCTGGATTTTATAGCAGAACAAATGATGCACAAGTTCAGACAGGGGCCTGGGCTCGGGCAATGAGCTCAGCATATGGCCTGACTCACTTTGTCCAGGTAACATATGCTTGAGAAGTTTTCACATCAGATTGCATTTAATATCCATGAGGACAGCTCACTTTTTCATGGAAACTTGAAAGGAATCTTTTTACTCAGCAGGGTGTGCCACCACCATACGAGTAACCACCCTCAAATTTACTGAGCTTTGAAGTCTGGATTTCACACCCAGAGCGTACTCCTGTAGCGTGTGCCTTTTGGGGAAGGGGTCCAGCCTCCATGCAGAATGCCCTGACCTGGCCTGGGGTGGGGGTGGGGGGGCAGAGGAGAAAGGAATGGTCATACCTGGGGCCAGGTGGCTTGGTCCTGCAGGGTGTTCTGCTCACTGGAAGGCCAAGTATTCACTTGGAGGTAAAGGTGATGCTGTGGATCTCGTGGCTCTTGCCAAAGTTGGATGTAATCCTGCGGGGTCTCCAGGGTGACTACGCTGGAGTCAGAATTTATGGGAGACTGAGGAAAGCTGGTCGAAGCGACTATGTCAGAGCCTGGGCTATACACCAGTGGCAATGGACCCATGGACACCCCTTGCTGCTCCTCAGAAACAAAACTGAAAGAAACATGTTACAGTGACATGGATCTGGGAACCATGACCCAAGAGTCATCGCCTTGTTCATCAGTAGGTGCTTGCAGCACGATTGGTTGTGGTGGCTAAATCAGGATTCACTGGTTTGTACCCTCACTTTGCCCAAAGAAGATTCCATTTGCTGGAGTCAAGTGAATGTAAAGATTGAGGTGAATTCTTGTCTCAAGTGGTTTTATTTGTATTACTTGGACAGCCCTCAATCTGCTACAATGGTGATCTTTGTGGCCTCGGGCCAGTCACTTTACCCACCCAAAGTCAGGGACGCGCCCTTTGTCGCTAAAGGAGCGAACAGCTGGGTGGGGCTGCTGGGTCAGTTCCTCCCTGCAAATCCAGTGCTCTCTCTACAAGAGCCCCATTCATCCTGGGTAAGTAGGGACTTCTGAATCTGTACTTTCCACAACCTCCTCAAGTGCATTCTGATGATCAGGCCGGCAGGAAACACGGCACTAACCCACCCAGCAGATGTATTAGGGTCACCGATCCTACAAGGGGGCCCAGAAGGAAATCTGGAGAGTTCTGGGAGGCCCGCTCCGAGAGCTGGCATTCACTCAAAAATATTTACTGGGCACTAAGCATGTGCTCTACAACCCCTTTGCTGCTGAGCAGAGCCTTCTCTTTCTGGCATTTGGGACCACAGACTTTATCACTTAGCAGAAAATGTGTTCATGTTCTCATACTGCCTCCCAGAACGTAGTCCTTCTGTGAGCTTAGCTCTTTGGTATGCAACGGCCATCTAGCGACTGTTTCACACCCACTTCCCTCACATAGATTGTCAATGCTATGGAGACCGCTTGATCTGGTCTGCTGTGATCACCAGATCGCAGTAGAGTGGGAGAAGAAAGCTGGGAGCCCAGGAGTCATTCAGCTATGGGCACTTAAGACTTTACTATAGACGCCTGGTGCCATGAGACTGGGCTTGGGTGGATGGAGCCAAGCGACTTCAAGATCTGCGTGCCAATTCCCTAACTTGGGAGCTTTCTTATCTAGGCCTCCTACTTTCACAGAGTCTCCTCCGTTCCATCAACACATGCTTGGCCACACACTGTGCCTGCAGAGGCAGGGGCGGGGGGGGAGGGGAAGCCACAGAGCAAGATGAATGGGAGCACATTGCTTTTGATGAGGGGGTTTGGTGCCCTGTGGACAAGTCACTCATGGTCTCGGGCACACTGTCTGGCCATAAGAGGAAAGCAGAGACCTTAGCCCTTATCACTGTTCCATGCGCTTCTTACCTCTGCCTGTCATCTCTGTTGTCCCCCAGGGTTTCACCTTGATAGTAGCCAGACGCCTGTCGTCCAGCTACGAACTGGACAGGAACAGCGATGGGCTGGGTCTGCATGAGTGTCCCGGGGTCCTGGGTTCCCTCCGCGGCATCAGGCGGCTGCGGCTGCTTCTGCGTCTGCTGCCCCACGTGCTGGTCCTGCCCCTGCAGCAGTGGCTTCAGAAGGAGAGACAAAAGGACCTCAGTGCCCGTGAGAGTGCCCCAGAACCGGACTGAACACCCCTGCTCCATTCTCCCAGAGCAGAAGATGACAGTGGCCTCCGGGCGTGGTCTGGGTGATGTCTACGTGTTGGTCGGGGCACCAGCTGCAGCCCCGCTCCTGGCTGCAAGATGCCGCAATCTGCAACACATGGACGAGCGTCTGGGTCTGGCTCGCCGAGCATTTTTATCTCAGGCAAGTGAACTGCAGCCACCCGGTGCCTCAGGAGAACCGGGTGGGCCCCAAGGTTTATGAAAATGAAACCTCCTTTCAGCTCCCCAGCTGCAACAGGCTTTCCCTACCTGGCTGGAGACATCACCAGGCTCCTCAAGCTCCTCAGAGAATTTGAAAGAGGGCGATGAACATGAACCACAGGAGAGGCTGATCCGGAGATCTGGGAGGAACATCTTCATTTGCTCAGTGCGTTGTTTCTTGGGCACTGGCTCCAAAGAATGGGACTCAGGACGGTCAAGGCTGTGTGAGGCGTGTGGCCGCATCTGGAAAGACACAGTATCACAGAGGTCTTTGTCAGAGGCCACGCCTTTCCTCAGGGCACAAGACGTGTGGGGCACGGAGCGGCACAGGCCGCCCAGGAAGCCTTGGCTGTACAGGAGCCCATCTGCCACCGCCAGAGCCTCGGTGGGCCCACCTCAGCCACTACACCCAGCAGACAAAGAGCACAGCCCTGAGTCCCTGCTGAAGACCGCTCCAAATGTCCCTCCTAGCAGGCCGTGCTGACTAGCTGCTTGCAAACTACCAAGGTCCCGTTTCTCTCCCTTCTGCCACTGACTTACGTGGAACTGGCCTCTGACCTGAAAGCTGGAACCCTGCATTTTCTGAAGCTGTTCCTGCATCAGTTCCAGTGCGTCCTTCTGGCTTCTGATGTCAGCCTGCAGCATCAGCGTCTTCTCTTCCAGTTGCTCCTTAAACTTTTTCATCAGCTCCAGCTCCCGCTTGTGGATGTATGATGTAATCGACGGCGGTGGTTCTCTTGGCTGGGGGAAGGAATGGCTTATGGTTCATAGACAGGGACGCCAGGTTCTCCAAATCCTACCAGGCTGTCTTATTGCCAAGTTTGGAAAGACTGAGAAATGAGAATCATTCCTCCACTCCCAATTTCACTCATCACTAGAAAGTCTGAAGCAATAGCTAGAAAATCCAGGAATTCAAGATCAGAAATGGATCATGGGAATCATGTAGTCTGATTTTTTCCTCAAAACATAAAGCTGTGGAATTGGCCCCAAAGTGTGAAGTGACCTGCCCCAAATCCTTAGTGGAAGAGTCAAAGTGCAGCGGGTCATATCAGAGACAAGGCATGTGGGAAACATCTATCAGATGCCCCCATTAGCAAGGCGGTAAGAAGAAGAATGCTCAAATGGCACTTCCTTTGTTCCAGGCACTCTTCTAAGCACTGCAAAGAGATTCACAGATCTGACCTTCACAATGTCCTCAAAAATAAGTACTGTCCCATACACAGTTATCGTAGAGATAACAGTGGCCTGAAACAGACCAGAGGCAGGAGACACAGAAAGGAAGGGACACATTTGAGAGAAATTAAGAAAGTAGACATGGCTTCTCAACTGACCGGCTGAGGGCGGAGGAAAAAGGCAGGGTTCTTGGAAAAAAACTATCTGCGGAAGCTATTCTTTGCCTTAATCTGGGTTGGCACTGTGTGTATAAACAAGATGAGAGAGCCACAGTCCCAATATTAATGATGAGAAGGCACATAGACATGTGACTGCTAGAGAACAAAAACAAGAGTCTATTCTATCATATACTGTGGCCTTCAACGCTTTATGGCTAATGGAAGCGCACAGCTGAGTTATTAAAAAGAGAGAGCAAAAAACATGCAAGCTGTTTTTCGCACTTGGAATAAAAAATTATATATATATATTTTTTTAAGCCACTGAAAATTGTCCAATTGCTCTTCTTTTGCTATAAAGTATACAGATGTTCATATAAGAAAGTAGGCACTCATTAAGCCAAAAAAACAAACAAAAGAAAAAAGTAAAAACTCTAAACTCGGGACTGAAAGCCACAAACCCTACTTCCCCGTTCTCCAAGCAGGGGTCTTTTCTCTGCTGTCCCTGGCAGATAAGCTACCAAGCCTGCCTCAGACCTTTCCGTTGAAGGGGAGGAAGCCCACCACCTGAGGAAGGGACCTAAGCCATCTGAGCAAGGCTTTCCTGAGGCGAGTGGAAAGCTGCCTGCCCTCAGCTGCTAGGTTTCCACCCTAGTTTGACCCACTGGAGACTCGTCTTCCACTTCGGGAGCATGGCGGCTGTGCAGCTACTTGGAGAAAGCTGTCCTGTCCCTTGCCAGTCTCCTTTCTCCAGTGCCTCCCACTACAGACAGCATGACATTTTCCATTTTCCAGCCTCTCTCCATCCTGGTCTCCAGCTTCTGGACACACTCCAGTCTGTCAATCCATGGCAGTCAGAAATAAGCACATGCAGAGCAGTACTACCCACACTCGTTGCTCGTTATTCTATTTTATTTTATTTTTTTAAGATTTTATTTATTTATTTGAGAGAGAGAGAGAGCGAGAGAGAGCATGAGCAGGGAGGAGAGGGAGAAGCAGGCTCCCGGCACGCAGGAAGCCCAACGTTGGGACTTGATCCCAGGACCCTGAGATCATGACCTGAGCCAAAGGCAGATGCTTCACCAACTGAGCCCCCCAGGCGCCCCTATTTTGACTATTTTAAACAAAAGTTATATTTAAAGTTTAGTTATGACTTCATTCCAAGCAGAAGAGAAGCTTGTCAACGTTAAAGGGGAACCACAGCTTTTTGGCATAATAAAGACATGAATAAGGACAACATGGATTTTTACAGAAATTTTTTTTTGATTGTTCAAAAAATTTTCACAGCAGTCTAGAAATCCCCACAAGGCAAGCAGACCATTTCAAGATGGAGAAACTGAGACTCAGGGATGTGCCAAGGTCAATGCTGGGGCCAAACTCAAACAACTGTCTTCTAGCCCTCAGTTCTTCTCAGAAGAGGGAGTGACTCATCTTAGGCTTTGTAATTAATGCACACGAGTCCACGTAACAGACCATAAACTCATTATTTTGCCTGCCAATCCTGATTTTAATAATCCTGCTATTATAAAAGATGATTGCCCAAATCTGTGATTATGTACACAAATTTGAGGATAGAAGAGCAACAGAGTAGTAAATCCAACTGCACTGATTTGGCCTCGGACCATACACCAGTGCTGACATTTGAAGGTTGGATACAACTAACATTCTGAAAGGCATGCTTCTAATCTAATAAAAATTCCATTTGGAGAAACCTAGCTCGTGGTGGGGAGGTGTTGGTATGGTAGGCAGGAAAGTCATCTTCCCCTGAGATGGTTAGCATCCCCTCCCAGGTGAAAAGGAACACAGCTCTTAAAAAATACTGCTTTTTCTTAGTAGATAAGCTTCCTATTTGGCCCAAACTTTCTCTTCAACCCAAAATGTCTTTGCATATTTTACATTAAGAGGAGAACAGAGATTTCATCTTACTTAAAGAACCTCCAACCTCCCTGTTTGCTAGGGTCCACTGGATTCTCAGCTGCATCTGAAAATCCAGTATGACAGAAATAGTGATGAAAATAAGATGCTTTCTGCAAAGTGAACCTGAACACAAGAGTGGAAATTCAGGGCTTTGCAGGGTTAGTGGTCCAGACAATTATGTGGAGCAAGACTCCCACAGGTACCTCATCACTGATGCCAGCAGCCGCATTGAAGGGTGAGCGGGCCTCCTGCTCCACCTGGTCCAGCTGGCCCTCCTCCTCCACCTCCTCCACCTCCTCCACCTCCTCCACCTCCTCCACCTCCTCCACCTGCTCCACCTCTTCCTCTTCATCTCCTTGTTCCACGTTGCCCATCTCGTCCATCTGGCCCATCTGGTCTACCTCTTCCATCTCGTCCACCTGTTGCACCTCATCCACATCATACACCTGCTCCGCCTCAGGTTCGAAATCAAAGCTCCGCGGAGATAATGTAGCTGAAGAAAGCACAGTGGAATGCATGAGCAAGAAAGCAGAAGTGCCAACATTATCAAAGAGATTTGCAGATTTCTCTTTATTTCTTTTTGAAGTCACAAAAACAGGAGCGTCCAGTTTTATTCCATGTTAAGGATTAGATATGCCAGGTACCAAGAGTAATTCAGAACATTCCTTAAAATTGTGTTCATGTTTGAAAATAAAGAAAAAGGAAGGAGTGTCTGACTTTACCTCCACCCATCCAAGCATAAGTGGGTAGGTACCCAAACCAGTCGTGTTGAGTGTCTTTTCATTATAAAATTCTTCCGGCCATACTTCTGGAAATTTGGTACCTTCCAACTGATAATACCAAATCAAACCTAATCATAAATCACTTCCAAAAAAGTAGGTTCCCCAGAATGTGGGGATCTCTGGAGTGCTTAAAGTGCTGGTGGGGGTGTTGAGAAATGACTCTCCTTCAAAAAGCAAGGTGGAGAACACTATTTGAAGAACACAAAAGGGCAGAGTCATTTTGGAAAACAGTTTGGCAGTTTCTTTCACACACGCTTCCCATATGACCCAGTTGTCCTGCTCCCAGGAATTTTTGTTAACAAAGCCAGACCAAAAAGATGAGAGACTATGTGATTCCATTTACATGACATTCTGGAAAAAGGAAACCAGAGACACAATACAGACCAATGGTTGCCAGAGGATGAGGGACAGAGTTGGAGTTCAAAGAGACAACACAAAGGAATCTGGGGATGGCAGGATTGTTCCGTCTGGTACTGTGGTGGCAGATACAGGACTCTTTGCCTTTGTCAAACCCATAGAAGTGTACATCCCAAGCAGTGAAGTTTACTGTGTGCAAATTAAAAACTAAGTTTGTTCTTCTACGTTTCAGAAATCATAATCACGGGTTCACGGATTCCCCCTCCCCAAATCAATTGTTTTGAAAAGATTTTTTAAACAAAGTTTGAGACTGACAGCAATAATGTAAGAGTTGTTAGCTAGAATATTTAAAAAAATAGAGGTATTAGTTCTATATATGAAGATTCCACAATACAAAGACTCTATGCTAAGGTCAGCAAATTAGAGGACAGAATCTGCATTATGCATCCGGCACCGCTTCAAGTTTTGTATTTTTTATACAATTATATTTATGAAATGTCTTTAATATTGAAGATCATGTAATAAATATCACTGTTTCTGAGAGACTATCCAAAAAAAAAAAAAAACAAGAACTACCCTGTGGGCCACTGTTTTTCTGCAACTACTATGCCACAGCAGTCTTCACTGTTTTTCTTCTGATAATCCTTATCCACATGTCCAATGTACCTACCTGGTGATGCTAGTATGCTTTCCAGGGACGATGTGCTGGAATCATAAGATGTATCAGACTCTACCCCAATTACAAGAACAGATTCTTGGTGGTCATACTGCTCGACTGTTAGAATATCAGCTTGATCCTGGGAATTTCCAAAAGAGGAGAAGATGACATTTCAATTTGGAGACAGATATATAAACAACAGGAAACACGGGCAGAACACAAACTTGGATGCATGTCACATCACAATTTCCAACACTGCTTCTATCAACTGAATACCTAAACAAAACCATCACGAAACACGTCCTTGAAAAATATTACTGGAAGGTAATAACAAGCAGAGATTATGGGTGCCCCGTGCTATACGCTGGCAAAACCGAGAAAATAAACACAATACAGATGCGCTGAAAGCACAAGCATAAGAAAATTGTGTGCCACTCAAAGGCCGTGGCACCAAAAAAAAAAAAAAAAAAATACACGCCTTTCCCAGGTGTTGGTAGGATGCTGACCCGGCGGTGGGAGAAGGGCACCGCCACCCGAGGGCCTGCACATGCAGCCGGCGCTGAGAGCAAGGAAAGGCCAGATGGAGGCTGCTTAATGGCCACTTCATATCTTCAATGCAGGTTAAAGTTGGAAGTATTATTACCAAAAACATCTTTACTATAGTAGCACAGAGATGAAAATGGCCCTGGAGAGCTTCTAGTGCAACCTCCCCCTTTGATAGTGTCAAAGAAGACAAGGTCACACAGCAGTGCAGGAGCAGAGTGAGAGAGAGTCCAAGGACTTCAAACCCAGCACTCTCTTCCCGAACCCCGGTGCCTCAATTGAAGCCATCTGCTGCTTTAAATTGTACACATCATATTCTGAGTTTAGTGATCCACTTCTACTAAAGTAGAAGACTGGATCCCTTTTGAAAAGTCTGCAGCTCCCTGCTCATGTGAAATGTAAGTACCTGGTTTAGCACTGGAATCTTTTACATCTCTGCTGAAAATTTTAGTGCTTGGGCTGTGTTTTGTTTTGTTTTGTTTTCAGACTGGATTAAGACACAGACCCATGCCAATTTTTCTACAAGGAACCTGTTTGTTGGAACACACTGGCCCAGATCAAATCCCAGCATTTGAACTTCAGGAAACTTGCACAACCTCCCTGTTCAAGTGCACTGTGTTTTGTACTCCTTAAAATAAGCGATATGTTGCTAGGGATGTGATAATCTTTTCATTATCGAGAAAGATATTCTGGTGAGGTGGTATTCAATAAGATGGGATATGACCTTTCTTTCCCTGTCCTTTTCCTTCTGCTTTTTATCATAGTCATATATCAATTTAATCTTTAGCTCCTTGCTTCCTGGATGAGTTTCAATAGAAATGTGTATACTCGGGTGTTGAGTAAGATGTCCATTTTTGTGTGTTCATATATTTTATTTAGTCTATCAATATAAATTCACTAAGCTTAAATAAACTTAAAATGACAGAATCATGTGTGCCAATGGTAACTGGCCTGGAACAAAAACAAAGCAAAGAAACTATTTCAGAAGCAAAAAGATACCAAGCAAAGAAACTATGTCAGAAGCGAAAAGATACCAGTGAAGGGGAACAGATTTACAACCTGGAAACTCGCTATGTAGTAAAGCTGTGGCAACTGTAGGGCTCATCTGATTGTTTCCCATCTCTTAAGAGTCCCTGTCCTTTGTTGCCCTATGACCAACCGTTTTCTTGAAAACTATTATTTCATACATTTTGTTGTCAGGGGCAGGAAAGCTAAATCTGGTCCTAGTCACTCCATCTTAATTAGAAGCAGAAGTTTCTCAATTCCATGAAATATTATACAGTTACTGAAATGATTAAAATTGGTAGACTGAGACTGAATGGGAATAAGCAAAATTAAATAGCAATTGTGCCATAGTGGTGGGATTATGGGTGTCTTTAAAAAAAAGTTCCTTTACATGTTATAATTACTTAGGTTTTATAAGTTTATGAAGTGAGAATTTCTAAGTCCAGCTTTCCTCAAGACACACTAAATTGAAGGACTCTGATTGTTCACACATTACACACTACAGACCCTAAGTGAGTATTTGTTGACTGATGGCCAGAGTTCTAGGGATGTCTTGGCCTCTTTTCCTAGCATAACTGCAATTAGTTTGTGTGTAAACAGAACACTACTCTGTTTAAATTAGCCTTTTTCTACCTAATTTCATCCATTTCATACTTTCTTGAACAGAATGTTAGGTTAAGCAGATGTACTGTCTTCAGAAAGCTTCATCTATAAACAAGTAGCTTGCTACCCTTGAAGTTTCTTCTGACTGGTCTAAGAATTAAATTTACATCAGACAGATTAACAGGAGAAAATCAAGTATGGATACCTCCTATATCATGGGAGATACCCAGGAAAACTAAGTGACTCCCCAAGGTGGCCAAAGCCATCACCTTAAATACCATCTCCAGCTAAAGACAGAAGAAGATGCTGGGACTGGGGGAGTCAGTTATGGGAGGTGGCAAGGAGAAGCAAAGTAATAAGGGTAAGCCTTCCTCCTCTTTCTGATAGAGAGAGGGAGACACCCTTAACAAAGGGAGATTGCCCTTATAAATTTAAATGTCTCCTACAAAAGTTTAACTTCTACTCAGTCTTTTGAGCTTCTCCCGTGTTTGCACTTTCTTAAAAATATTCAGCTTAAAATAATCCTTATTCCAGACACATATTTTGGGGTGGTAAATTCTGCTCCCCTACAATGAGCAATAGTTGGAAAATGCAATACAAAATCAGCACTTTGTATTTAAAACATAGGTGTATCTCTTATGTTAGAGAAGAGCTTAAATAGTATAAACCCCTGCTGTCTGCACAGTCCCAGAAACACACAAATCCTTTCAGACAAAATCACATGCAGGCCTGAAAACCAAAGTGAGAGTCCACCCACCTAGCCTATCTATACTGTTCTTGGGATCTCTCACCTTACATTTGAAGAGTGCTATAAAAATAACACAGTGCTGTAACATACAATGTTCCTCTGTGCATCTAATATTTATGAGCACCTAGTATGTGTGGCAAACCTTGTTCAAGATATTTGGGGATAGGCCAATGAACAAGACAGCCCCTGTTCTCACAGAAGCTTTGTTCTATGAACACAGAAAATGCACTGATAAATGAGGTTACATCCAGATGAGATAGCCTGGCAGATGACCACTCCCCTTTTACTGACAGGAAAACAGAGGCTCTCCACCAGCAAATAACTTTTCCCAGGTCACAAAACTGGTAAATGGCTGAATCAGGAATTGACCCTTATCTTTTGAAGTCTAGGGCCATCTTTCTCTCTGCAGCACCTCCACCATGGCAGCTGGGTCACAGGCACCCAGGGAGTGGCAGGTAGGTGGAACACCATCCACAGGGAAGGCTTTCTGGGAGGCTTTTTCTGTTCTATGCTTTTTTTCTTGCACTTTGATCTTCTTTCCCAGACTGGAGTTTCAGATCACTGAACGCAGATCCAGATTTCATATTTCTATTAATGTGCATCCCTCTAAGATTCTCTCTAGTGACGTCTGGTGAATGGATAAATGGATGATACATTCAGTGGCTTAGGAAAAGGATGGGGACAATCTAGGCTAATTAGGGGCTGGGTTCTGCCCATGAAGGGATGGAGCCAGCTCATGAGTCTACCCCACATTAGCCTACTGTAGCAGGCACGTCAATAAACTTCCTTTTTGAAATGTACTCACAAGTCAAAAAGATCTTGAACAATGGCATAGAGCTTAGCTTAATTTTTTAAAAAAGTACTACAGGGACTATTCCAAGTATTGGGGGCCAAGAGCAGGCTGCCCCAAGATAGGCCACTTTGGCATGAAGATTATTCTGAGTTAAAAAAGCAATCAAAACCCAGCAGATTCAGGAAAAACTCTTTACCTGCCCAACAACTGCCTAAAAGAATTTAGATCGAGGCCCTGCTTCAGGAAGAGAGCTATCACCATATACCATTATACCATGAACTAGGCATGGTGGACAGGGAGGAACCTAGCAATGCCTGTTTGATCAAAGTCCTCTCTGTGTCCCATTGTTTCTGAGTGGCCCCGCAAACATTTGTTTACCATTTATTCTTTCTCATTCTTCCTGAGGATTGTGTTCCTTCCCTTTGAAATCCCTACCCCCCTTTCCCTAGTTCAAAATGACATATATACCTCATTCTGCTTGACTTCTTTAAAATTTCCATGCCTGTGTGGGTTCCCTCCATGTATGCTATTAAATTGGATTTTCTCCCATTAATCCGTCTCATGTTGATTTGATTCTTAGTCAGGCTAAAAGGACCTTGAAGGGGTCAGGACACTTTTGCTCCCCAACACAAGCATGGCTGTTGCCAGCTCCCAATAAGAAATGGTTACAAAATGGCAGCTGTGGAACACAGCTCAAGTGCTATGCCCAGATGGGATACTTCTCCAAACTAAAACCTTTTTCTGTTGGCAACACACATTAACTAAAGAACCAACATTACAGGGAGAAGGATCCATCCATTTACCCTATGACTCTCTTCTGTACATACGTCTGAGGCAGCAGCAGTAGATTCAGGATGCAGCAGTTCCATTCTAGAAATTCTTTTCTGGTCCTGGCTTCTATAAAGAGATGAAAAGAGAAATGGTAAGCTCATCTCACTTGCCATTTAAATCTAAATTTTCTACTGTACAGTAAAAATAAGGTTCAAATAAGAACAAATATTTGAGGGGCGCCTGGGTGGCTCAGTCATTAAGCGTCTGCCATCAGTTCAGGTCATGATGCCAGGGTCCTGGGATCGAGCCCCGCGTCGTCAGGCGCCGCTTCCCCCTCTCCTCCCTGCTTATGCTCTCTGTCACTATCTCTGTCTCTCTCTCTCAAATAAATAAATAAAATCTTTTAAAAAACCAAATATTTATTTTTCTTAATACATCACATCAACCTTTGAGGTGCTGCTATTCTGACAGAGAAAATTGTTGTACACCATATTTATAAAATAAATCATCTGAAAAAAATAGATAAATAAATCATCTGGACCCTCATTAGAATGAAGTTTGCCGCAGGTCTCAATGCCTCTGGTTAAAAGTGGTGAGCAAAGCAAGCTCAAAAAAAATAAACAAAAAAACAAGGCATATGGGTGAATCTTCTTAATTTTTAAACCAACTGCAATTACAAAAAAAAAATGCTTTCAGGCCAAATTTAATTTTGTTTCCTGTTATTAGAAAAACTCTCTATTCTTTGGCTCATTATCAATTCATTTCTATCAAAATTAGAATTTTGATGCCCAAGGTGAGAACCCAGCTTCCTGGCACTGGAGTCTAAGTACTAGCTTATTTTTCACCAAATTGAGTGGAAGGTGAGAGAGAACTTGGGGGGAGAGAATATGAATGAATGAGAATCTTGGTTTTAATACTGGAATTACTTTTTAAGCCTTAAAATTTTCCTGAAGATCTGTTATGGAAATGTATTTTGTTTTCAGGAGTTTTTCTTTAGCAGGCCAAAGCCAAACAGTGAAAAGCCCCATCACTCCACAAAATGAGAAACTGGAGTCTGATAACAGATATGATAAAAAGCAAGTCCTTAGAACGGCAACACAGTGACAAAATGGTATCTGTGAAACCCTCCCAATTCATTCAGAAAACACAAAATTAACAGAATAACTGGATTACTCTGAAAGGTTTCAAAAAGTCAATACTGATATGACTGTGAGAAATTTTCCATTCAATATTTCACAGGACCCAGCCAAAAAATCAATTTTACTTACATCATTTTTTAAAGATTTATTTATTTGAGAGAGAGAGAGATTGGGGGAGGCAGAGAGGGAGAGAATTTCAAGCACACTCCCCACGGACCTTGGACCTGACGTAGGGCTCAATCTCAGGACGCCAAGATCATGACCCAAGCCCAAATCATGAGACTGAGCCACCCAGGCGCCCGTTACATCATTTATTTTTAATGGTAGAAAACTAAGAAGGGTTTGAAAAAATATATTTTGGATATCAAAATATATAACATTTAGGAAGTAGTGATTTAAATTGCATAAAACAACTACTTAATGAGTAAATTCAGTCATTTGTGTATATGATGGCGCTATAAAATGTCTACTATGTATTTCTTAATGGCTCAACTTTCAGCATCAAATAACATAAACAGCGTTACTTACAAATTTGCCTTGACATCATTTAAAAATAAAATTCCTAAAAGATTATCATCTATATTTTTCATTTTTTTCAGTGTTTGACTAAATTTATAAGCCAGTTTTAGTCTAACAGAATGTCTTCTTACTAAGTGTTGGTACTTCTTCAAGGTTCTTCACTTTTCTGTTCTTTCTTTATATTATCTCTTTGCAGACTGCATTTTGTCCCTTGGCTTCAACTAGGGGCATCTCTGACATCTCTATCTCAAGACCTCTCCCTGGGCTGTAGACCCAAATATCCAACTGCCTTCAGGACATGCAGTCTGGATGCCTAACATTAGACACCTTAACTCCAGGTGGTCCAATGTGACCCCTCCTCCTCTTCCTCATCCTCCTCCTTCTTCAGTGTCTCCTCTATTGGTGATGAGTGCCACCCTCCACCCAGTCACTCAAGACTAAAACCTCCAAGTCATCTTTGACTCTTCACTCTTTCTCCACTCTCTTCTGTATGAAAGTTTGTTACTAACTTTCTGTCCACCTTTTCTACTTGGGGAATTTCTGGAAGGCAGTGCACATGCACTGAACCTCTTGTATCCCCCAGCACCGAGGACAATGCAGAACACATATTAGGTGCTCCATGAATATTTGCTGAGTGAATAAAGGAATAAACAATCTGACCAACCAGCTCAATTGAAATATTTGCACATTCCTCCCTCACCCCAGGTCTGCTTGGCTTGACACAATTATTTTCAAGAACAAACTGAGGCTTCTATCTGTTCCTTAAAAGCAATTAAATGTCACTATATTGGCTTCTAAATAGTAAATATCTTTATACCTGAGATAAACAGCACGTGAACGAATATATGGCTGCACTGTCCAATATGGCAGCCATTCACCACATGTGGCTAAATTAAAACCATAATTAAAGAAAATTTCAAATTTATTTCTTCAGTCAGCAGCCTCATTTCAAGTGTGCAGTAGCTACATGTGGCTAGCGGCTATGGTATTAGAGCAGATTAAAGAGCATCATTGTCATCACAAAAGGTTCTATTGGACAGTGCTGTATCAAAGGATGCAATGAGTTTTACTGGACAAGACACTGACTTTGACAACAAAACACTATGAGGTGATGATGACTTGCTTGAAATCCACTGCTTGGATATCAAGAACGTAATAGTTTTCCAGATTCTTCCATGAATTTATATTTCATGCTTCTCTATACATCAATATAGATGGCAAACTTCTGACTTGTGATCAGAATGCAAAAGTAACAAATAAGCACATACATTGCTAAAAAAAAAAAAAAAAAAGCATGAAAGAGTATTTCATACCTAACTAGTCTGTACATGTAAATAATGAATTCAGGCTCAGGACAGGAGACGTAATGGAGGGTTTGCAACCACAAACATTGCTGCCCTTTGGTTAGGAACAGACAGAAACAGAACTTTCCCTTTCTAAATCGCATCAGTTAATTTTCAAAAAGAAAGAAAATGATCAAAGAACACTTTGTTAGCTGTATTTACATTAGCTGTTAAGGTGTCTAATGAGCCCTTAATGTTTCTTACTCTCTTTCTATTTTACATCTTTGCCAAGGTTTGATATTCATTGGTAAAGCACTCAATGCTGCTGAATTACTTTAATGGAAGGTTATTCTTGGCTCAAAAAAACCCATCTACTTCTACTTGCTATGTAAATGAAACTGTAAATATGAAAAAGATATCCAATGAATACTGTCCTTTCATACATCAATGCAGTATAAACTAAGGTGTTGTTTTGAACAGTTGTGGCAATAAATATAATCTTAAATGTCTCTCCTTGTTTAACTTAACAGCTGAGATGATCTTATCTAAAGCCAGGTTTCCCTTCTTGGTCGCAGGTTGTGACCAAAGTTTAAGAAACTAATTTTCAAGATTACTCTAACCAAAGCTAGTCCGTAGGCTTACAGGAGAAACCCGCTACCAACTCCCTGTCTGAAATGGGAAACCTTAGGTCAAGACCCAACCGCATCATTTCCTCCAGGCCCCACTGCATCTCAGCCATCCTTGACAACTGGATTGGTACTAGCAGCTCCAGAGCCTACCTCTCCCCAAGTCACTATTCTCTTAAGTGGTCCCCTAGGGATAATGCCTGAAACAGCCTGCTATTTTTCCCATTCCCCTATTTTCACCATTGTGTCCAGCATTCCAGAGCTGCCAAAGGAAGGTGGACAGAATTTGAGGTCGCACAGACTTGGGCTCAAACTTCAGCCCTGACACTTCTTAGCTATGAGCCTTAGAGCAAGTCCTTTAGCTTCCCCGAGCCCCAGCTTCTGAATGTTTAAAGTGAGACTCATAATATGTACCTTGCAGCATTCTTGCAAAGATGAAATAATGTTTGGACAAAGTGCTTTGTAATCTGTATAGTCCAACATGATCATCTCAAATGCCCTCATTAGTCATTCTCCCTTTGATTGCTCCATTCCTCTAAGTTCTTCTCCACTTAAATATATGATTTGGGATGTATAAGACTATAATTTGCTCTAAATGGCTCTTTTGTGATTTTAATTCTCTCTTCTAGAAAATGTGTTCCACAAAGATGAGTTCTGCATATGCTACCATTGCTCTATTCCTTCAGAGCCAACAAGCAGACTCTCCGGGGTTAAGATAAGCAGACTGGGGATCAAGAGGTGCTATTGCTGTAGATCACCTAGATGGTTACTCCTTTGGGCAAGGAAATGGAAAGACATTCCATACTCATGGATTGGAAGAAGAAGATGTGGTATATTTATACAATGGAATATTATGCAGCCATCAAAAGGAATGAAATCTTGCCTTTTGCAACGACGTGGATGGAACTGGAGGGTATTATGCTGAGTGAAATAAGTCAATCAGAGAAATACATGTATCATATGACCTCACTGATATGAGGAATTCTTAATCTCAAGAAATAAACTGAGGGTTGCTGGAGTGGTGGGGGGTGGGAGGGATGGGGTGGCTGGGTGATAGACATTGGGGAGGGTATGTGCTATGGTGAGCGCTGTGAATTGTGTAAGACTGATGAATCACAGACCTGTACCTCTGAAACAAATAATACATTATATGTTAAAAAAAAAAGAGAGAGAGAGAAGATAGTAGGAAGGGAAAAATGAAGGGGGGGAATCGGAGGGGGAGACGAACCATGAGAGACTATGGACTCTGAGAAACAAACTGAGGGGTTTAGAGGGGAGGGGGTGGGGGGATGGGTTAGCCCGGTGTTGGGTATTAAGGAGGGCACATATTGAATGGAGCACTGGGTGTTATACACAAACAGTGCATCATGGATCACTACATCAAACACTAATGATGTAATGTATGGTGACTAACATAACATAATAAAATAAAATTTAAAAAAAAGATGCTCAACATCTTTAGTCATTAGGGGAATGTGAATTAATGCCATAATTCAATACCCTAGAGAAATTAAATGAAAACTTAGGTCCACCAAAAACTTGTATACAAATGTTTACAG